CGGAAAAAAAAAAAAAAAAAAAAAAAAAAAAAAAAAAAAAAAAGTTGGCTCGATGCTCTCCAGTCTTCTAGAGTTAGAGAGCTCCACAGCTTTGATTTCTTTGCCCTACTATGTTATCTTCCATTGACATCCCACCTCCACTAGGTATTGCCAGATCACACCTTAAACCCATCCACCCTCAGCTCAAATCATAACCTACCAGTGGTATTGCAACATCCTCATAAGGCAGCTTGTCTTCTCGCCAAGCATCATCAATCAAGTCCAAGATCCTTCCATCTCTCTGTACCTCACTGTCCATTGTCCTGCAGTTTTGATCTTGTCAGATCTGTAAGCTAAAGAGGTTATTTCTTAAACATGAAGACTGAGGAGGTGGTATAATCCAGTAATAGGACTCCCCAGGCTTTTCAGCCTGGAGTCATCTTTTGGCACACACCACCCTGGGAAAGGCTCATCTTTTCATATGAGCCAGGTGACAACTTATTTGTAAGACCACTGTTCCTCTTCCCCCGCCTAAGTCAATAAATGTTTTATAGCATATATTGGACATAGTACAGTTGACAGACCAGTGTCATAGATTGTGACAGGAGGCAACATGTGCCTAAATGAGGCCCTCAAGTATGTTGCATCTAAATGTAGCTTTTCTTTAACTTGCACGTGTGTTTTACTTTTCATGATGCCTTTGATGAGTCCCTGATTCATAACCGCCTGAGTGCCAAATGCTTTCCTGTGCCATTGTTACAAAAGTCTCCACCTGCCTTGGCTCAAACCTCAGCATTCTTAGGCACAGGAGCTAAATGGACATACTGAGGTAACAATGAACTGGGCTATGCAAAGTGACCAATTTACAGGCCTGACACAAATCCTCAAGGCAAGAACAATGTCAACAGTTGAACTTGTAAAGGAAACTGCTTCCTTTCTTAAAACAGCGGGCTATGCAAAGTGACCAATTTACAGGCCTGACACAAATCCTCAAGGCAAGAACAATGTCAGCAGTTGAACTTGTAAAGGAAACTGCTTCCTTTCTTAAAACAGCACCCAGGCTGAGATCTGAAAGGTGCACCTCCAGGTGAACAAAACTGGCAGAACCCCATGCTGCTCCAGTTTCTGTTTCCCTGTGGGGTTCCCTCCCCTAATTCTTAATGCTGCACTCCCTTCAACACCTGGTCCAAGTCGTCAAGATGTTTCCTTAGTTCCCTGACCATTGGCTGATTTCCCATTTTTCTTCTGAACAGTTGCAATCTAATCTGACCAGCTTGGAAGGAACCTCTGGGCTCCTTGTTTCAAAGTTTGGGCCCTGCCGCCTGCTGTGCTCTCTGCTACAAAGTAGAAATCGTGAAGGCCTGGAAGGCACTCCCAGTTTCTGAGACTATGGAGACTCATACAAAAACAGTCTTTGGGGGTGGAATCCAACTGCATCATAGGGTCCTATGTTTGTCCCCAGTAGACAAGGTATCCCTAATATCTGGGTAATAATTATACCCAGGTTGGGGTGAGGAAGAGCCCATGATAAGGATTCAGGCAAAATTGAAGCAAAAGGTGCCCAGCTACTTAGCTGTGAATCAGGTGAGGTTTCACTCAAGAATCTAGTACTACCCAGTGGTTAACTCAAGCTAAAGAATGCTGTCTTCAGGAAATCTACACATAAGTAGTCCTGATCCTCAGTTCCAGTTATATTTTTGGAGTTCTTCTCCTACAAGAGCTCTCCTTTTTCTTGCTGCTCTGTCCTCTAGGATACCCTTCTCACTTTTGTGGTTGATCCAAACCTGCTTATTTTTCTAGGCCCACACAGAGTCCATCTTTCTGTAAAGTTTTCTCAAATTGCTCCAGCTTCTGCAGGCTTTCTATCTTTGAATGCTTGCTTCTTGTCCTAACCTGATCCACTAAACAAGTTAGATCAGCTTTATGACTGACTATCCAGGTATTACTGCCTCCAATTATTATGTGTAAATTTTGTACCAATGATTCCTTAGCAGATGTTTCCACAAGTCGGCCTCTATCTTTTTCACCTGCCCTCTTCCATACACCTCCAACCCTGTCACACTTTGCACTTTAAAGCCCCTTTTTTTCATCACTATTGCCTCCTCTTCCTTTCAGACAAGTCTGGCCTCAGCTTTTCCTAGTCAACATCCCATTTCCTGGGTTAGGCGTCAAGGTGCTTTCACCCTTAAGGTGGGAGAGTAGGAAGCATCAAGACAGGCAATGCCCATGACACTGCCCTTGTCCCAAGCACCAGTACAGGTGCCTGAGCAAACTTTTCTTATACCTGTGAAGGTACCAATGCCTGGAATGCTCTTTTTTCTTCCTTTTATTTGACTGGCTAGCCCACGGTCGGCCTGAAAATCTCAGCTCCCGGGCTGCCTCCCGTGGAGTCCTTTTCCAAACCCCAGGCTGAGCGCGGTTCTGGCACCCACCCCTCCGCCGGTCCCACAGTTCCCCGGGCGGGAGCAGTGCACGGCACCAAATGGAGAGCTTGTCACACTGCCCGGACAGTTGTCTTTCCAGACAGCGGCGCGTGCGTTTCCCGGCAAATGGAGAGCTTGTCACACTGCCCGGACAGTTGTCTTTCCAGACAGCGGCGCGTGCGTTTCTCGGGATAGGGGCACGTTTTATCCATCGCTGTATTTTAAAGGTTCGTAAACATGTATTTCTACGATCAAAGCAGAAAGGCCTTTCCCCTCGCTAGAAATGACCCTCACAGGCCACCACCGTCCCTAACTGCAAGGCCGCCCCACAGCCGTGGCTTCCGGCCCGAAACTGGATATACCAAATGTGGAGGCGGGGAGGGGGAGGTCAAAGACCGCCGCGCGAGTCCCTTTCCACCCCGAGGGAAATGACTATGAGGGTGAAGTGAGGGCTTCGGCCGATGGGAGCAGAAGTCCGACGCTGAGGACGGAACGCATTCCCGCCCCTCCGAGACCTAGCCTGGGCCTTACCTCAGCCAGTCCCCGCCGCCCCTCAGCCCCACGCGACCCGCACCTTCTCCTCTCAGATCCCCGGATTTGGGTGAGCCCACTTGCTCACGTAGAGGGGGTGTCGGGATGCAGTGGGCGGAGCGAACGTGCCGACGACTGGGGATGAGCGTAAGGGTGGCGGCGCCGCGCGTGCGCGCTTCCAGCCCGAGGTAACGGCGGGAGGGCTCGGGGCGCGCTCGCGGCGCCGGTAACCGCCTGTGCACGCCTAGGACGGGCAGGGGCAGGCGTGTCCTGTCCGGAGGCGGCCCTGGCTGCTGCGGTGCCCCCGGCCTCGCGGCTCCATGGCCCGCGACTGGTTCCCGCTGCAGCCTGCGAGCCACCGGGCCCGCCTCCACCGGCCCGGGTCCGACCCGGCGCCTCGCCCCTCGGCCTCGCCGCCTACGCCCCGGGGACCTGCGAAGGCAGGCATGGTCCCGCCGGGTGCGCCGTCAGGCCGCGCCAGGCGGTCAGTTCTTCCCAGAGGCTGGACGGGAGGGCGCCTCCGCTGGCGGCGCGGTGGGCGAGCTGCTCCCCAGGCCCTCTCTCCCGGGCGGAGCGCCCCGCGGGCCGCGCTCGCTCTTGAGGGGAGGGACCCCCGCGCACCTCCCTCCCTGCCCAGGCTGCTGTAGCTAGCTAGCTAGCGCTTCCTAGCATTGGGGCGATTCCGGCTCATTTATGGTGCCATGTTAAAGTTAGCAATGTTTTAAAAAGTGAGTTGTTTGAAAGTTGATACTGTACAGGAGTTAGGGAAATGTGGACAAAATTGTGAAGGATTGAAATTGGGGAACCCCGAGCTTACTGGTTGCTCCACGCACACAAATCAGGGATGGGAAATAGAATAGAGAAAAGGTTTAAAAAGGACAGCTTCTTAATCCTTTAATCATGAAGATACTTGACAGTAAATCTAGGCCCATCATATGGTTTTTCTTATGTCCCTGCAACATCAGGAGAATGAAGACATGTTAGAGACTGGTGTTCATTTATAGATTCAATACACTACACTTATTTACAGAGTAGTTTTCTCTGAACTTTATATCCAACTCCTTAAACCGATATTAAAAAAAATATCTTATTCCTTTAATAAAGCAGTATTGTAGGGTAGATGGCCTAGTTTTGCATGCGTTTAGTTTTATAGATATGAAGAGGAAATTATAAAGATCATGGGCAACGCATTACCTTCAGATATTTATATTTACACCTGTTAGCTGTAGCTTAATGATATAATAAAGTGTATTTTCTTATTTGGAATGTAGTGCCATCTTTAGGTTAATTTCCCCCCCCCCCCCCCCC